TCTGCTTCTCCCTCAGACCCTCCCCCCTCTCATGTGCTCTCTTTCTCATTCTCTCTCTCTCAAATAAATAAATAAAATCTTTAAAAAAAAAAAAAAGAGCTATCCCCAAGGGCACCTGGGTGGCTCAGATGGTTAAGTGTCTGCCTTTGGCTCAGGTCATGATCCCAGGGTCCTGGGATCAAGTCCCGCATCAGGCTCCCGGCTCAGCGGGGAGTCTGCTTCTCCCTCTGACCCTCTGCCCTCTCATGCTGTTTCTTTCTCGCTCGCTCTCTAATAAATAAATAAATAAAATCTTAAAAAAATAATTTTATAAAGAGAGATGTTTTAGCAAATTGGCTAAAGAATTAGTTAAATTTTCACCTAGAATAAAGAGATAAGGGAAGCAAAACCTGATGACATTTAGATCATGAAAATGAGAGTAGTTAATTTAGTTTCTATGAAAATAAGGAGAAGCCAAAAGGCCTTTGAGGCTGACTGAGAGGAAGAAAGATTGCCCTAAACATGGTATAAGTATTTCCTACCAAAGAAGCATGAAGCCAAAGTGCCATGTCTTTGACAGATGCAGTTGGGCTAGGCTGGGCAGAGGGAAGCTGGAAGAGATGAGTCCGGGACCTCTAATGAGGCTCATCCCTGAGGGCTGATCTAACCGCAGGTCAGTGCCTGGCCTGCCCTTGTGGCTTGGTCTGAGTCCAGGCACAGACACCTTCCACTCTGTTCCTTTCCACTACAGAGGATGAGGCCAAGTTAGTCTGCATCACAGATCTCAGTCTGGAGGCAGTTGTACCAAATTGCCTTGGCCTAATGGATATTCCAGAAAACCTGAACATGTTTCAAGGTGCCACAGGGCCTTGCAGACAATGAGAAGATCTCACTTGCCTTTTAGGTTGATCTGGATTATATTTTTCATGATTCCTCCTCCTGTTTAGGAGCATTCATAGAGCAGGGTTGAGCCAAAATGATAACTGACGTTACATATATGATTTTCCAAGTTGGATAAAAAAGTTCCTTTATGGAAAGGAAATATGGCCTGTGTAATTTCCTCTCTTCTTTTTTTGAGGCCTTCTGGTTTTATGCTCTATGCCTGCAGTAGATTTTCAGTATTCCAGGAACATCTCAAAGATAAAGTGTAGATGGAAGGCATTTTGCTGGTAGCATACATCTCTGTGAGATCTGGGGAAAATGAGCTTTTGCTGTTAAATTTTTTACCAGTACTTTTAAAAACAATATTTACGTATTCCATTTATATTGTAAAAATGATCACTTTATTGATTCAGTCATTGATTAATTCATTTGATGTCAATATTTATTGAGTCTCTATTTTGGATGAGGCACTATGCTATAAACAATTGGGGTTCCAAAGATGAGTAAGACACGAGCAACTTAGCAGCAATGGAGACACACGAATATACAACTGAAGTGGTAAGAATGTAGCAAGTGGTAGAAGTAAAGAAAAACTGGCCATTGAGTTCGGAACAGGAATAAATTATTACCAGGGTGAGGATTAGGAATGGTTGGTAAGAGAAGTGACCTTAAGATGCAGTGATTACCTCAAACCCATTTGGATGGCTGCTATTAAACAAAACAAAACAAAACAAAACAGAAAAAAACATATGTTGGGAAGGGTGCAGAGAAATTGGAACCCTTGTGCATTGTTGGTGGGAATGTAAAATAGTGCAGTTACTGTGGAAAACAATATGACAGTTCTTCACAAAATTAAAAATAGAACTACTATATGATCCAGCAATCCCACTTCTGGGTATATATCCAGATGAATTGAAAGCAGACTTTCACAGAGATATTTGAACATCCATGTTAATAGCAGCATTATTCAAAATATGGAGCAGCCCAAATGTCCATTGTCTATTGGTGGATGAATGGATAAACAAAATATGGTAAATATGTACAATGTAATATTATTCAGCCTTAAAAAGAAAGGCAGTTCTGACCATACTACAACATGGTTGAACCTTGAGGGCATTATGCTTAAGTGAAATAAACCATTTACAAAAAGGCAATTAGTATATTATTCCACTTATATGAATTATCTAGAGTAGTCAAGTGCATAGAGATTGAAAGTAGATGGTGGTTGCCAGGGCCTGGGGGGAGGAGGAAATGGGGAGTTGTTGAATGGGTGTGAAGTTTCAGTTTTGTGAGATGGAAAAGCTCTGGAGATTGGTTAACACTGATGTGAATAACTTAACATTATTGAACTCTACGCTAAAAAATTAAGATGATAAATTTTATGTTATATTTATCCTACCACAGTTTTAAAATTTGCAGTATTTTATTATGCAGGGATGGGTGGAAGATGCTTGATACTTTGGAACTTTTGTCCATGCATATATCATTCACTCCTTCCTTCCTTCCTTCATTCAACAAATGTGTATGGAATGTCTGCTACGGGCTGGGCCCTGAGCTGGGTATGGAGGCTGCAGTACTTAAGATTGATAAGGCCTCGAAACTGTCAGTGTCCAGCTTGCTAACCACACTGCCCCCCAAAGGCCCTAAGCTCCTATAGTTAAATATTCACAGCTGCTTCCTACTGACTTGAATCATCATAAGATGTTAGTAAACGAACAGTACAAGATTGAGGTTGATTGGGGAGAGGGGAGTTCAACAGCTTTGTGATGAAATGGAAGGGGATAGGCAGAAGAATATGAACTGGAACTGAAAACTGCAAGCCCGTGCTCTCTAAAGATATTAAAAAATAAAGAACTTCCATTTGAGGCTGTCAAAGTAAGAGCTGTGTCATTTAGAATGGAAAAAATCGGCCAAGTCAGATGTGCTTAATGCAAGGAGCTGGTATTTTGTGAGTGTTATGGCAAGTATTGTTTGAGAATCACTGCCACAAAACTGTGGACAATACCAATGAGTGATCAGAGTAGGAAACGGTCATAAAATTTGAGCTAAAAGGAAAGACAGGGCTTGTGAAAGGGAGGGCCAGTGAAAAAGTCAGTGTGGTCTCGTTATTTGGGTGGGGAGTAGAAGCAGGAAGCATGAGTTTCTTTAATCAGAGACCCTGGAAACTCTATCTTAAATTCATTTTATCTCATCCTAGGTTGGTTTTTTAAAATTTATTTTTTATTCTTTTTTTAAGATTTTATTTATTTGAGAGAGAGAGTACAAACAGGGAGGGGGGCATAGAGACAAGCAGACTCCATGCTGAGTGAGGAGCCCAACAGTGGGGCTGGATCCCAGTATCCTGAGATCATGACCTGAGCTGAAGTCAGAGGCTGAGCCACAGGTGTTCCAGCTTTTTTTTTTTTCTATTTTCTTTTCTTTTCTTTCTTTCTTTCTTTCTTTCTTTCTTTCTTTTTTTTGGTATCTTCACTCCATCTATCCTTCCAGTATCTTTCAACTTTTCTTTTTTTCCTATACACTCTGAAACATTCTATGAGTTCATTTAAATATATTATTGAGTGCCAACTACATAACAGGCACTGTGCTGGGCTCTGACCATGCACCCTCATTTCTCTTCCACTGCTTTTATTCGGTTGCACATGCCTAGCAAATCCTTGATCTAAGTTCTGATCTTATACTGGTTAAATGAGAGATGCAAACTTCATCTCATTTGCTCCTTTTCTTAGCTCTTTTTTCTCTGTCTTCTTCAAGGTGTCTTTGTTGAGGCTGTTCCTTCTACCTGTGTCTTGAATCCCAACTGCTATACTTCCCTGGACTTTGTTCTGTTCTGCCCTTCTCTGTACCCCCAACTCTTCCCTCTCTTTTGCCCATTTCTTTCAGTCTAGGTGAGGCTTCCACTTCCATTCTGAAAATCCTTTTTTTAATCTTTATGTTCTTGAGCAACCACCCCATCCCATCTCTTTCTTTACCCGTTCTCATCTAAGTTCTCAAAGGAATGGTCTTCACTCATTTTCATTTCCTCCTACTCCATTCTCTTTCCCACCCACTGGATTTTGGCTTGTGCTTGTACATCTCTACCAAAACTCCTTGCTAAGGTTCCTCTTTGTCAAATCCTACTTCTATGTCATCAGTCCTTGCTTTATTGGACTTCTCTGCTCCATTTGGCACTGTCAGTCACTCTTCCTTCTGAAAGCTTTCTACTTCCTTAAAACTTTTTACTTCTCCATTTCCTGCATTCTCCCAGAACTTACTGTTAATTCTCAGGTTTCTTTCTGGGATATGCTTCCTCTACGAACTTTTTATAAGGTTGGAGTAATCATCTGTGTTTCTCTGCTCTTCTTATTCTACATGCTCTTAAAGAGGAGTATTGAGTATTGAATGGCACCCTTAAATTATAGACAAGTTATAAAAACTGATATCTAGGGTTACATGGTAACAGTCACATAAAAATTTGAATTGTTATCTTTCTATACATGTTCTATGTTGCTCATCAGTTCATTTGAGTTTCAGATGCTCCAGCTGCTTTTTACTTTGTGTCTATTTCCTAAAGGTACTTAGTGTGTCTAGAATTGGAATGAGCATTGGTCTCTAATAGTTCTGCATTAATTGTGAATCCCTGAAAAAAAAAAGTGTAAGTCTATTAAAAACAAGTTAATTTCATCTTGTCATTTTTCTAGATAATATATTCTGGTGTAGGCAGTCCATTTCTTAAGCAAGTTTGCAATAAACAGTTTCCCCTCAAGGTTGATATCATAGGCAAACACCTTTTGCTGTAACAGCCGGCAAGAGGTAATGAAAGATTAGCTTACATTATGATTCATTAGTTCAAAATGTCAGAATAAAGTGGATCTGCTGCATCCCCCAAGCCTCTTATTCTTTAGAAGAGCATACATGTTTTGCTTTTCTAATGTTAATAGATTCACTGTTTTTATTTTCTCCTACTTTCCCCCCCCCCCCTCCCACCAGGCCAAACTCAGACAATCGGCGCCAGGGTGGCAGAGAGAGATTGGCCAGTACCAGTGACAAGGGAAGCATGGCTGTGGAGTCTGCCAAGGAGACCCGCTACTGTGCAGTGTGCAATGACTATGCCTCAGGCTACCATTATGGCGTCTGGTCCTGTGAGGGCTGTAAGGCCTTCTTCAAGAGAAGTATTCAAGGTAATAGTGTGTTGAAAACAACTTATTCCATTTTTAATCCTGAGGGTAAGCAACTGAAAAAGGAAGGCATATGAGCAGTCCTTTGTAGAAGAAAACTCTAATACCCGGTAGGTACACTAGTATGTCGGGTAGAAACATGGAGAAAAACAAAGTTCTCAGGGGAAAGAGTTGACGAAGAGATCAGGGCAGTTGTAGCTGAGTAATTATGCTTCCTCCATTGGCACGATCCAAGCAGTCTTGAGCAACTCTATAGGAAGGGGACTTTAATAGCTGGGTCTGGAGAGGTCTGTGCCCTGATTAGGGGATGGCAGGTGGGTATTCATTTGTTGCAGGTAGCTAGGCTTACATGATACCCTGTAAGATGAGTTGTCTCTACATTATTGCTTTTCCACCTTGGCTGTGTGCAGATATGCATTCTGTTCTGATCTTTGCTCCAGACCACCTGTTCTTTGCACCAATTCTAACTTGACAGGTTCTTCCCTTGCTCTTCCTCCATCTCTTTGTTGTCTCAGTGGATGATATCACTTTTGCTAAAATGAGAAGACTCAATAGCTGGTGACCTGTAATAGGGACATATTATCAGTAGAAGTGGTTAGTAAGTATTTACTTGTAACATTTCATTCACCTGTGTGCCTGGATCCTCTTTTGTATGTGGCTTACCAAGAGCAGCTTCTCCCTTCTACTGCCAGCTCCAATTTATTTGTACTCCAAGAATGTCTATATTGTTGCATTTTATAGGATGCCCTGGGGGAAACATAAATCATTTCTACTACCTAAAGTATCTATGGTAAAAATCCTTTGTCTGACAGGAATAGCAAGCAGTCTGACAGGAGTTTAGGTTAGCTGAATTAACTTTGTCTTGGTCCATTTTATTTATTTATTTATTTGTCTTCGTCCATCTTAAAAGCAGCTTTTGACAGTTATTACTTTCAACATCTTTTAGAAACTTACTGTAAGATTTGTACTTTTTTGTTGGATTTTTTAATAAAATTAATGATATTCTCTGATAGTAAATTTTTGTTAATATACATACATGTACACACACAAATAGAGATAAATAAATAAATATACACATGGATATGTATATATACACACATATGTGTTAAAGCAACATAGATTATTTAATTTTACCACTTAATACTATCTTAATTTAGAAAAACGATATTTCTATTTGGTTTAGGTTAGCATAAGCCCCCAGAGGTCTTTCAACAACTGTATTCATTTGTGATATTACTTTTTATTTGCTTTTATGTATTCTAAAATAGCATTATTTTCACCAAACATTTAATCTGGTATTGACAAATCATCTGACAGAGGTAGATTTAGTGAACAGGTTCAACTACAAACTTGGATAAGTCATTTATCTGAGACAGTTCTCTCATCTATAAAAATGATTGAGAGCAACTTTCAGCAGCATTTTTTTTTTTTTTTTTTTTTGTTGGTAAAAGGCCAGATAGTAACTGTTTTAGGCTTTGTAGTCCTTGTTGCAACTACTCAGCCCTGACATTGTGGCCTATAAGGAACCATAGACAATATATAAGTAAGTGGGTGTATGCCAATAAAACTGTATACAAAAGCAGACCAGAACTGACCTGGGAGCCATAATTTGCTGATCTTTGATTTAATGTATGGGAAGGGAATAGATTGTTTCTAAATCTAAAGTTTTGACTATTCATGTTTATTAAAAACTTACTCTGTACCTGTGCAAGATGTTCTGAGAGAAATCAAAATATGTGTAAGATATAATCTGTAATCCCACAAAATTTGGAATTTATTTGGGAAATTTATTGGGGAGGCAAAGATACTTGTTCTTATGATACAATTAGAGAGTAAGTCAGGATAGGGATAAAGTGCTATTATATGATAAAGATAAGGAAAATAATGGATGAATATAAGAAAACAAATATTTTCAGTTGTAAAAGTCAAATTACTAATATTAAAGATAGAAAGGACTTTTCTTCAAGGAATAACACCAATACTCTCACAAGTTATTTTCATGCTGTTTGTTCAGCATTGAAGAGTGTACTATATAACTTCACATCAGACTGAGTATTGTCTCTGAGCATTAAGGCATTAGAGCAAAAAAACACAGTAAAGAAAAATAATGCACTTAAAAAAATAGTGAAGGAAATGTGAGCTAATAAAAATAAATATTTTATTGGTATGGCATTATCTCAAGTTCAGATATTTAGAAAATTTCTGCGTACTCTTTGATGGTTAAAAGATATATCTTATCTCCATCTTGTATGTATAGACTAAATAGTAGGATTTCATTGTACTATAAATTATATTATATAAAATTTTACTGTATATATAAATGGCATAAACTGCAATTTCTGCCTGGCTTCAGAAACTTCTTATCATGGTATGAAGTCACTTAAATAAGCTTTATTAAATGAGGTGAATATTGAGTCCACAGTTTTAGAAGAAGCATAGAAATGAAGCAGAGATATTAACTTTTAGAGATAAGGAGGGACCTTAAAAATGATTCGGTTTATGGGTTCATTCATTTATTCATTGATTACCTCTACTAGGCAAAGCACTGTGGAAGGCCCTAGAGATACAATTATAAGAAAGACATGGTCCTTATTCTCATAGACCTTAAAAGGTAGTGGGAGAGTTGCACAAATAAACTGGCCACTAAATAACAGTGTGACATGTGCCAAGGTGAGGGTGAGTGAAGGGTTTTATATAGGAGTCCAGACTTCACTCAGTCCTGGTGAGGGTTGAGTCAGGCTCTGAGGAGTTTTCCCGATTCAAATTTAAGTCTGGAGGATGAGTCAAATGAGCAGAATGAAGGAGAAAGGGATGGATGTTCACAGGAATGAGCATATGAGCAAAGACCAGGAGATGAAAGGGAGTTTGGGGAGTTCTGTGAATAGAAATTAACAAAATTAATTGACCATTAGATCAAACAAAGACATTCTTGGCCATGTATTTATTCTTGATTATGTAAAAATAAAGTAGTTTATTTCCTTCTTACTTCAATGGTGTTTCTATGTATTTGGCTTGTTTGTGCATATAAAAAGGAAATACCAGAGCAAGTTTAGTGGTTTCTTATCCCATTTTCTCATCATAGTCTTGATAACATGCAACTAAAAAGTTTTACTGAACTTCTTTGGCTCTTTATAAGTCACACTGACCCTCAAACCTATTTAAGGACAGTGAAGGGTCTGACATGCAGGTAGAAACTTCTGAAGATGCTGTAGCTGTCCCTGTTTTTCTTGTTATGTAAGAAGAGAGATAGAAATGAGTATCCATCAGATTACTCTAGTGCTCTAAGTGTTTTAGTTGAAGAGGTAAAGTGTTTGATTTGAAAGCATACAAATTTTCATCCACTACTTAGTGTATAAACTTGATTACTCAAGAAATTGAGTAATGGCCTTCAGTTGAACATACTCCTTTTTTTTTTTTTTTTTTTTAAAGCAAAGTCAAGGATGCTATTTAAGGGAGGGGTAAAATGGGATAGTACATGAACTTGTTAATCATTGCAGATGGAGAAGCAGTGTTTCTTAAGCTGTGTTGTAGGCAAAGACCTTGGATGAGTTATATAAGCAGATTTGATTACAGGTACCATCTTTGAGTACCACCTTGGACTCAAGGAAAAAAGACTCCACTGAGCTCCCTGCTTCTCTGACATTATTATTTCAAATGTTCATGAGGTACAGTGGAGTCCCAAGCCTATCTGTATACCACTAACTATGTTGCCACTTCATATTATCTCTCTCAGATGTACAAAGAATATAATTAGATCAAACAGACATGGCCCAGGCAGGTGTTGACTTAAAGGTTAGCTAAGACCAGAAGGACATCAGAGTGGTATCATGGTGGAGTCTGGTTATGGTTCAAGGCAGTGAGGCATTAGGTCCCACCAGGAAACTGACAAGCTTTGTCCATTAGGCCTTGGAAAGCGTCAGGGGTGGGTGGTGGGGGGTTTGACATTCCAGCACCCTGGATAGCTCCCCCAATAGTGGCTGAGTGTAAGCAGAGCCTGACTTTCTGAACTTCAGCCCATTTAGTTGGCTCCATCCATTTTGTAGAGCTGTATTAAGAGAGAACTTAGGCCTTTTGTGCTTGGTCTTCCAAGATGGATTAGGTTTTACATTTAGTTTCATATTTCTAGTCACCTTCTGGCTTGACATATGTACCCGTGCCTGGAAAAGGCCAGCAGATGGGGGAGAAGTGGTGGTTGCTCTCTCATTATCTAGCTATTTTATCTCTGGAATCTGTTCAGAGATAGAGCTCAAAGTTGAAGTCTTGAAATATATGCACACAAAAATTGAAATTTTGATCTCCATATTCCAAACTTGCCCCTCTACCCTCTAGTCTCCATGCAACAGCAGGAGAAATCTTTTAAATGTATTCATCATGTCATGTGGTCTTTCCCTTAAAACTCACACTGCACTTCAAGTCCAGATTCCCTCCTATGGCTTATATTACTCTACAGTCTCTTAGTCCTGCTTATTTCTCCCCCTGTTCATTATAATCCAGCCACATTGGCCTTCTTTCTCTTCCTCCAACACACCAACTATGTTCCTTCCTCAGGACCTCAGCACATTTTTCCCTTTGCTTGCAACACTCGCATCTTTACTTGGCTGGCTCCTTGTCATTCAGATCTCTGCCTAAGATCACTTTCTCAGAGAAAAAGACCATGTCATGTCAGTATCTTCAGAGAATCTTCCATGATTACCCTAGCCAAAGTAATCCTACAAATGTTTGCCCCTAGTTTTTTTCTTTTTTTTTTTTCTACTCCATTACCCTTATTTTTCTTTAAGGCCCTTAAACCCTTAATGAAGTTCTCTTATTTGTTCATTTGGTTGATGACTGTCAGTCTGTACCAGGTGCTGCTTCCCCATATTCCTGCCTGAACTTGGATTTAAGCTCAGTGAAAGCTGATTTCAGGTCTGGCCTGCCCTGTTGTTTACTGTTGCTCCAGTACCTCTAGTAGTGTTGGGCACATCTCCGCTAAATAGATTAGGACAAGAAGTCTAAAGAATGGT